TTGTTATAGTTTTCATGCTATAACTTTTAAATTAGTAAGCGAATGTTAACGAAATTTGGCACATTATCAGTAAACATTACAGTGCTTTAATATGCAAAATATCAAATTTGTTTATTAAGTCTTAAGGTTTGTAAAACAATTTTTCTCCTGCCCTTTTTTTCTTTTTGCATGTTGCCTATCTAACATGCAAAGTAATTTTCATTTTAAGATTAAAAATACTTTTATGCATCAGAAAATTTTCAAATTTTACATGCGAAATCTTTATAAGATAGTTATCAAACATTTCTTAAGAAAAACTTTTTTTTTTTAAATGTTATTTTCAGTAATGAAATTCAGTGGGGGTTCGGTTGATTTGACCGATCTCATAACGACTATAAAAATTAAGAAATAAATATAAATTATGCCACTTTCATTCTAGAATGAACACAAATTATAACAGGAAAACATAAATGTTTAGACTAAATAAATTAAATCTCATAACATTTATATATATATTTATTATTTTTCTTATATTGACCATTCAGCCGTGCCTGGCTAACAATACAGAAGTTACAGTGATGTGGCACACGTGCACTCATGTTACCAGATCCAATAACATAAAACTGACCTTCAGTCTGTACAAAGTAATTTTTCTTGGCTGTGTTTTTGTAGACTACTATTTTGTAAAATACAGCCACATTTCCATTATTATACATTAGATATTGTTACGTCTCTGCTCGTTTGTTAATTTCCAGTATAAGTTCTTTCCGAGGAACTTCAGTGATACAAGTCCCTTCTTGATTAAAACTAGTTTATTCTTTCTCGATAGAACTTTGTATTACACAGAATTTCCAATCAGTATGTTAAACTTTACTTTTATAACACACGCTATAAATCACAGTGATTCACACACTTTATTTACAGTACCTACTGTTCGCTTGACTCAATTATCTATATCTTCAATCTATCTCTCTATATTGCTGGCTTTCTTTGCCAGGCTTGTATATCAAAAAAGAGGACATCTAGTAAACACTCGGACATTTGCGGGGTTCCCCGATAATTAGATACTCCAGCACACATGCTCCCAGCATCACGCGACTTCTACTGTCGTATAAATATGTACATAGATTATTGCTATTTTGAAATAAGTTCTTAAACGTACTTTCTTAAACATAGAACAGTAAATAAAGAATTATCTCTTCTAGATACAACCTTTGTACTTGGTTGCTGCTTGATGTAGGCTGCTATGCCTTTACAAATTTTGCACATGGAGGATATTAAACAAAATAATTTTTATTAGGTTTTATATATATACATTTGAATAACTAAAAAATCTTAAATTACTATATCAATACCATAGAATTCCACTATAATTTATCAAGCTTAGTAATTAAGATGTATTTTAGTCCTAAAAAATATCAAATTTTGAGCACACTAAAGACACACCCACCTCCTTGAAATATTGGTCCAAAAGAAAGAAATGGCATCCAAGCTCATTAAAATGGCTGAGAAAGCCACTAGGAGGATATTCTGAGCTTCCGATTAGTTAATCATGTCATATATATAGAAGTAAGTGTATCATATAAGGGAAAGTTTTCAAAAATGGAAAGAGCTGGACAGGGTGCCACTGTGTTTGATTTATGATATGAGCAATATCTTAGCAAACAGAAAAGATAAGATGTCCATATTTTATATTCTAGCTTGTCAATATCAATAATTTGAGTTTCTAATTTGTATGAAACTATAGACTTAGTATTTTTACTTCACAAACATCTAATTTGAACCAGTGCTGCATTCAACATATCACGTGACACACAAAAATCAATGTTTATCTGTGTTTTTTAATATTTACTTTTAAATTAAGAAATTGAGTAATGGAAAGTATTAAAATATGAATTATAATCTACAGTTTATACCAAACTTATTGATATAAATTCATGAAATAGTAGTTCAATAAAATTTTGAATGCGAGTCAACAAACAAGATGACATGGCCTTTCACCTGTGACCCGTCTCGAAAGGGATATACTGTTGCTTCATATGGCAGTTTCCATTGTACGGAGCTTCTACAAATGGTAGTTAAATCAATATTATTAGACTGTACATGTGTGTTAGTTACAAGACCATGCTATTTTATATCACTTGGATAAAAGTATATTAGAGTTGCATCAGGAGGATTTTGCTATACAGTAATTGTGGTCAGTTGAGATTGCTGTGATTCAACCATTTTACTTGTGAAAACAGCCATTAATTTTGAGAATTGCCTGGAAGCTTATTATCCTTTATGAACTTTACATTTACATTTAATACCTTGTTAACACTACCAAGGAGGTATGCCCACATTTATCACAATAAAAAATGTTTTGAACTAAGAAGTTATTTTTTGTAAATATATCATTCACTTTGTGAATGAGGATGTTTTATACCTGATTAACTTAAGGTAGGTTGTGAAGCTCATGTTATTCAAAACACACTGTTGTGTGAGTTTTTGTACTTCTGTAGAGAGTATTGAAGTTTCCCTTCTTCAATATATTGTTCTTTAGCCCTAAGTAGTTTAGCAGTCTTGCAGTACAAATATCCTTCTTCAGAAAAGGCTGTAATTTATCAGGTAGGATTGTATTGTGAAGTGTCAGAATTTACTGTGAAGTAAATATAGAGTTGTATGTTGACTGTGGCACCACAACTCACATTTGTGGCAACATACCACTACATAAGCATGTATAAATAATTCATATTAAATGTGATAAACCCTTTGTACTTTACTTGGAACATCAGATTTGTGAACACTAAGTTAACACCTTCACTGTTGTAGCAGAGTTTATTCCCTATGTACAATATTTTTCTGTAATTTTCTAATAATGTTACAGTATTTTTATACAGTTTCAAAGCCACTAAAACAGGTTGTTTTTAATTTCACAATGGAATTGTTTGATTTGTGACATCATATTAATTCATTATGTAGTAACTCTTAAAAATTTCTTGCTTGACATTTTTAGCCTTATTACTATTATTAACATAATTCATCCCTCTTGGTATATGTAGATGTAGTGCACACTTAGCAAGTATCCACTATTAAAAACTTATATGAAATAAAACTTGGGACTACTTCAGCATTCACTGCTTTGATTTTTCTGGTATAACAGGCAGAGAAATCTATTATGCAAGTGATAGAATAGTTGATTCTTTCTTGAGTGATTTCCAACAACAGAAGTAAAGCAGTGAATGTCAGGGAAGTGCTGAAATTTGTTCTATACCTTCTTTGAATAAAAAAGTATTATGCTAAAGATGTGCAGTAATCATATTATCTACACAACATATAATATAACCACTATAAAACATGGGGATTTTTGTGCGATGGAATTATATCTGTGGGGGGATATAGAGAAAGAAGATTAACATATGCTGTCAACTTTATGCACAATGCATACATTGTACAAATATCATGCTGTAGGCCCTATGGCACAACACATTGAAAGGGTTAGTTCTGAAGATCATATATCTTAAGTTTCAAAACTTATGAAAATAATATTATGATTATTTTGTCAGTGTAAACAGTTTTTGTTAAACCAACAATGCTTTGAAAACAAATGAAGGTTGTTATGAGTTATGTAGTAAATCGCAACTTCCAATGCGTAATACACTTACCAGACATCAAGTTTGCAGAAACTGTTTGAATGTATTTATTATAGGCACGTAGCTGTATATTGATTACTGATATAAGCATTGCAAGTTATAATACATCTTTATTTCCTGTTTACAGCACCTGCCATCTTTCAAAAGGGTTTTTATAATTAGTGTCTGCCTTCCTCTTTGAACAAATTTTCAGTGCAGTACAGCAGTAGAAAAGTGGACATAGTTGTGTTTTTTACATGTACTTCTGACCCCATTTGTTCTGAAGCTGTAAATATTACAATGCATTACAGCTTTTAAGACACCATATACTTCAATTCATACCCTTTTAGATGATATCTTTATTTTAAAAGTGAATACATAAACATTGAGATGATTTATATTATTTAGTAATAGAAGTGCTAATTATCAGGAGATATGTGTAGTTATTCTTTATAGATGATATTTCTAATGATTTAAAATGAGAGTTCATAAAATATTAAGACTTAAAGAGCTAAACTAGATTTTTAACTCTTTCGCTGTGGGCTCAGCCAATTTGATGGAGCAAACTGACTATCATAGCTTTCACACTATAACTTTTAATATGTTTTCTTTATCTTCATGAAATTACTCAAGCTTTCAGTAAACAAACAAGTCTTTTGTACACAAAAGGTCAAATTCTTTAATTAAGAATTTTTACTAAAAATTTCTCCATGAATATTTGGCATCAAAGTGCTGACTGCTCTAATGCAAAGTGATTTTCATGTCAAGATTAAAAATACTTGTGTTATTTTCCCTATCCTAACTCTATATGCATTTGTTCAATTTGACTATTTCATAACCACTATAAAAAAAATATATAACTATATTTAAGCTACCCATTTTTTTTTCTTGCTAGAATGACTGCGATTTGTAACAGGAAACTGCAGTTTCTTATCCTAAATAGCTTAAAGCTCATAACAGTATACATCTGTGTCTACTTCAATTTTATTGTTTTTTTGAACCATGTATAACTAATAATCCCACCACACATGTTGTAAATTACTTAGTGAACATGTAGCTTACATTATCTTGTCAAATCATGTAATGCATGAGCTGCTCAGAAGCATACCTTGTCAGTGTTTTTTATTGTTATTATTTTCATTGTCTTACTTAATCTAACTTCATCTAACCTATTAAATTTCTAGTTTTTACCTTTTAGTTACTTTTATAATATTATATAAAAATACACATGAAACCAAGAAAAATAGTACTTACCTGAACCTTGTTTTTTTTTCTGTTGATGAAATTTAAACTTACTTTTTTCATACTAATGGTACTACTACATGGAATAATTAATGTAAAAAGCAAACATACAACAAACAATGTCCTATAACTCATAATTTTTCTTGTTTTCTATCTATGTCATAAGAGCTTTTAAAAATTCAGCAAAGCTTGTCAGTGTAATTCCTATGAGAATAAAGTTTCAAACTGGATGTGAAATAGAAAGTTTTCTGTATGGGAAAACAATGTAATATAACATGTTATTTGATAGATTAAAACTTTGGCTTTCTACTGATTATAAACAATGTAGTATTAAATGTCAGAGAGAACCATTGGCAATTTGTGAAAGATACAATGTGACAGGTGTGCATAGTAAGTGGGTTTGCTTTTCTAATTTATGACTCTGTAGGCAAATAAAATTGAAGGCTAAAAGTTATGCTTTGCCTGAGTAACATCTATTTTAACATTAGTAAGACTTGGAGAACAAATGTCACAATTCTCATACTAGGGCAGATTGAGGATTTTTTGAAATATTTTCTTATAAATTTAAGAACTTATAACTCATACAATATTAAAATTTGATTAACTGACGATGTTTTGATGCCAAGTTTATTCATAGAAAAAATTACAATAAAAATAGTTTAATTAATAGGTAGCATTTTGTTTTGCCAATGTAGGAGGCCTTACAGTCTCCACATGTGCAAATGTATACAAGCTATGAACAAAGATAAATTGGGAGAAGGTTTTTAGTATGAGAAAAAATGTTATACATGTGATATATATTGGGAATTTCCATGAAAACACAAAAAGTTGAGTAACCACTATATACACCAACATAGTTTAATTAAATTTTGAATATAACTCTTAAAAAGATGTTACATGTTGATTTGCTTGTGGTGAGAGTATTAATATAAAGAAAGTGGTGATCGAAATATTTTAAAGCATCTACTTTCTTAACACATTGATTTTGTGTTTCATTTTACAATTAAGAATTCAAAGTTGATTTTTTCTTTTATGTTATTATATACAGATACAACACTTGCAGAAAGTATTGGCTAAAAAACGAGATCCAGTGAGCCATGTTTGTTTTCTTGATGAATTTTCCAAGGTAGGAGACAAAACTAGTTTTATAAACTGCTATATAGCACAATAAGAATTTTAACACGTCCCTTATGAGCCACGGGGTGATTTTACACTACAATTTGTTGAATATTAAAAGTAAGTTCAATCCAGAAAATAGGGTGGTTTTGGACTGATCTTTTCTAGACAAATATGAGACAAGTTTTTGTTTGTTCATTGATAAATGTTTAAGTAAAATACAGCATTCTCAAGTCTCCATACTAGCTAGTACTAAGGTTTACCTGCTGGAAGTAAATTTAGTATATATATATCAATAAAGGTACATTCTTAGCATCATTAGTTAAGCACTTGCCAATCTTTTATACTTCTGCTTTCACTTTTTTTTATTTAACTTTCAGTTAAGATGTAAGTGATTTCACCTGCAATTTGATAGGAAAGGTCAAAGCATCACAATAGCCATCAGTAGGATGAGTAGATAGGAACAATTTGAAAACAGCTACAGACATCATATTGTACTAGGGCTTGCTGCACAATATCTACCAAGGTGGTTCTAAACGGTTCCTGAATACCTCTGTATGTCATTTGGAAACTTCCATACTTCTTGTACTTGGCCATTAAGTTTCTGATGTGCTGACAGATTTCAGTCACCGTAACACTTCAAATCACTTTTCGCAGCCCCAATGCTAAAAGAATGTGGGAAATGCTTTCTTTTAAGACAATAAACATGTCAAAAAAATTACAGTTCAAATTAAAAACTGGATTGGGTAGCTGTTTTGTTTTTTTTTCCAACAAAAATATCCCCCACTGGCTCGTGAGGGGACTGATAAATTTTGTTTTATGAAAATGTTTCTTATTTTTTGCCAAGCATGTATAACATATACTTCATGAGACCCTCACACTTTTGATTTTAATTCTAAGAAGAATTATAATGGTTTAAAAATGTTTACCGTACTTATTTTTACACAAAATCTTTAATTGAGAAAAATACTGTTTATACAAAATATATTTTAAAATTATTACTTTAATAGCTTTCAAATTTTGTTGTTTATAGATGGAAATTATTGTTTTTAATTAAATTACATTTTTGTATATTTTTTTTGCATTTTATTTACAGCTGTTTACAGTTTGTTGTAAATTACTTGACTGGTACCAGTAAGAAATATAATTGCTGACTAATTAATTTGCATTAAAGTATCTCAAGTGTAAAATCTCAGTTAGTAAATTTTAAAACAGGTCATTAAGCAATCACTAATCTTTGTATATTTACTTTTAAATTAAGAAATTAAGTAATGTATAATACTAAAATTTGAATTATATTCTACAGTTTGATACCAAACTTATTGACATACATTCATAAAATAGTAGTTTAATAAACACGATGACATGGCCTTTGACCCATGACCCACTTCGGTAGGGTTAAAAAAGTATGTTAATTATGTTGTGCTTATATACTGATGCTATTTCTTGTTTATTCAAAATTTTATTACTATATTTGCCCTTTTAAGCCCTCTGTCTTTATTAATGTTCTCCCCCACATTTTTGGAAAATAACAAATCTTTGTCAGACTGAATTGCCCCATCTTATAGTCACTTGATCTTTAAAATAAATTCCTAATATGAATTACTTCCAACTATAAAATTGCCAACTTTCAAACCATAACTTGTTGTCAATCCAGCAACTTTTGAAAGAACGGATGTCTTTAAAGTATTACTTACCATAATGTTTTAGTAATACTGGCAAGTGCTTAACGTCTTGTTGGCATCCTTTAAAATGTATCTCAATAGCATATTGTGCCATTCATTTTGAAAATTTATTTTTGAAGTAAGATGAATTAACCCTTTCTCAATGGGCTCATTATAAAGTACACGAGTTCGTATACACATTTGCACAGGTTAAGTATTTACATTATAACTTTCAACTCAGTATATGTATCTTCACAAAATATGGTAAACTTTTAGTAAATATTACAAGTCCTTTGTATTACAGAAAATAAGATTTTTTAAAAAACTTTTTTAATAAAGATTTCTTTGTGAATATATCGAGTCTGTTTTGTTACTAGTTCAAGTACGAAGTGCTTTTCATGTTATGATTAAAAAAACTATTCTTTGCCCCGAAAATCTCAAATATCATTTGTGTAATCTTTACAGTCTTCTAAATACATTTCAAATATTTGTTTTCAGTAAAACTTTATATTTTATCTGTTATTTACTCTACCCTAATTCTATACAGGGTCAGTAACCACCATAAAAAAATTAGGAAATAAATTATGCTTTTTTCGTTCTAGAATGGCTACAAATTATAACACGAAAAGACATGTTTTGTCTAAATAGCTTAAATCTCATAACATTATACACACACACGTATATATTAATCTATTATTTTTATTATATTGACCTTTTCAGCCGTGCCTGGCTAACATTATAGAAGTTACAATGACGTGGTGCACATGCATACGTTACCATATCCAAGAATATAAAACTGGCCTTCACAAAATGACCTGTGTTTTAGTGGACTAGTATTTTGTAAAATGTAGTCACATTTCAATTATTATACATTATATATATATATATATATATATATATATACACACA